AAATTTTGAACCGCCACCTCCCCCGCTGACTTTAACTCCTCCCTCAGAGAGGCAATCTCCACTGACTGGGCCTCTGCTTGCTGCTTCAGCTCCGCTTTTTCTCTGTTGGAGGCCTCCAGGGCATCAGTGGCGAGCTTGTGGTGCTCATTAGCGTGGTCAAGCCGCCGAGTCACCATAGCCACCTGACACTCCACCTCATAGAGCTCTTTTTTCAGCCGCTCCACCTCCGCCTGCGAAGCAGCAAGCTGGACCTCAGCAGCTCTCTTTTCCTCTTCTGCCTTGGCAGCTTTGGCCCGGGCAGCTCGCACAGCGTCCCCGTAATGCATCGCCTCCTCGAGGCACTTGGCGAGGTCCTCCCTCTTGGAGTTTAGATCCTTCACCAAGCCCTCGAGTTGGATACTTGTGCTTAGTGCCCGGGCCACGCAGGCGCTGTTCACCGCCACCAAGTCTTCAGCAGTGCAGGAGGCGGTGTGGTCCCTCCACTCTTCGGTCCAATACTTGCTGTGGACCACCGCCACCACAACTGTTTCTTGAGGGAGAGCCTCCAGCACCTCCCTTACTGGCTCTTCTGAACTGGTGCCGAGGAAGTCAACCTCTTTGCTGGAGCGGGCCCTTTTCCTCCTCTGCTGCTCCGGAACATGTTCAATAGGTACGGTCGCGAGGGGCGCCGTGTCCTGGGCAGCGACAGGCTCCGCAGCAGTGGGGTTTCTCTCTGGGAGGGCCACCCCAGTGGGAATAGTTGTCTGCCGCATAACTGGGGGTGGCCTCGCCACAGTTGGGCGTCTGGGAGGGACAGCACTTTTCTTGCCCTTCCTTCGGAGGTCGGCCTCTGAATCTTCCTGAACCTCCTCCTCCGTCGGAGGCTGAAGTCTCTTACTGGCCTCCACCAGCTCCTCCATTTGCTTCTTATATGAAGAGGAGGAGGCCTTCAGTGCCCTTGCTTCAGCCATCATTTTCTGAATAGTTTTGAAGTCAGGGCGTACTGGCAGCTTCTTCTTGAAGTTATCTGCAAAGAAACAAGTGAGGAATTAATAAAAGTATAGGGAGTTCAGGTTAAAAGAGTGTGGGCTTCGGACCTATTACCTTGGGACGCCATTAATTCGTGAGTGACGAAGTGTATGTTTTTCCGAATGAGCCTGTGATATGACCTCTTCTTCTGAGGCAGTTGATAAATAACGCAAATAATGTCGAAGTCCTCTGTCGACAGCTCGCACCGAGGGAGGGAACCTGCGAAAAGAAACATCTGTTAAACACAAGCCCGACCGAAGAGAAATAAAATATCAACTACTATACTCACTAAGTGTTGAAAACTTCGCCGGGACTGTAAGAGGCGCCAGGGGGTCCCCCTCCATTGTGTCCCATCGCCCCGCTGCCCAGCACCAAGAGCTCTTCCATTCCTTGATGGAGCTTGGCAGATCGATCACAAATGGAGTGTGGGAACCCCACGACGTCAGGTAGTACCAGCCCCGGGTCTTATCCCCCCCGGCAGTAACCTTGGGTATGTAAAGAGTTTGGAAGACGGAAAGGGGCATCTCCACTCCTAACGACGCCTCTTTCCACAACATCCAGGAGCCCACCATCTGGCTCCAGGAGTTCGGATTGAGCTGCGTCGGGGCTAGCCCGTAAGACCTAAGCACCAACCTAAAGAACGGGTGAATAGGCAGCCTAAGTCCGGCCCTAAGGATCGCCTCGCTAATGGCCACGCAGCCCGGCCTTGGGTAACAAGCTCTCTCTTCTGGCCCTGGGAGAATCAGGTCCACACTGTCCGGGATCCTATATTCCGTCCTAAGTCTATCAAGGTCGGCCTCCCTCAACTTTGATGGGTAGTCCGATGCCCCCCAGTGCACAGAAGTATCCGGAGGGCTATCCGGTCGCTTCCACATGTTTTCCCCTCCCATTATGGCCCCAGCTATTTCTGAGGAGGTCGCCACAATGGGCTCGTCCACCCTCACAATCTCTAAACTCCTACCCATACTAGAACTCCCTTCCGAGGCCATTCGTTAAGAAATTTTTAGTCTAAATGGGTACTGAAACTTACGGTTTTGAAAGTGGTTCCTAGCCGGAAATGGTGCAAGATCGCCGGAAATATCGCTCTCTCTCTCGCCGGAGTTGCCTGTAGAACACCGGGAATCGCCAAAAATTAGGGAGAAAAATTTTCTTTTTTTCGTGGTAAAGGTAGAAACTCTGATAAGCCCCCAAAATTCACCTTTTATAGGAAAGACAAATCCAATCTCCACCTTTGAATTCAAATACGATCAATCTGAACCGTCCGTTGTATTCTCGATCCCAGCCGTTGAAATGAAACGCCAGATTTGATCTACGCCCAAGATGTCGCTGTGGCTTTCACGCTAAACTGAAACGCGTCGCCTCGGTTACCAACAGCCGTCAATAATAATTACTGGCCGCGGCAGCCTTCTAGGGGAATGGGCGTGGTACCCAACTGTCACCTTGGAAACACACAACAGTTGTCAAATCATTGGACTTCTGGGTCGCCTCGGATAATCTCCTCCCCCAACTTTACAAAGCTTAGCCGCAACCGATGCGAAGGCCCCGATCGCTAATCACTTCGGGCGCTGCGTTCCCACCATTGCTTTACAAAGTTCTAGCCATCTCCCCACGCGTCGACCCTCTTTTTCCGCCAACGCTTCGGCGAGAAACGAGTCCCCCAACTTAACAAAGCCTGGACGCACCCGATGCAAGCGCCCCGTTTGCTATCGCCTCGGTCGCTGCGCCCCTCCCATGCTTCGCAAAGCTTGAGCCGTCTCCCTCTTCCTGACAACGCTTCGATGAAGACGAATCCCTAAAAATTTCTATAACGCTTTAATGAACCCGACGCGAGAGTATCATCGGCTCATCGCCTCGGCTCTGCGTTCTTCCATTGCTCTACAAAGTTTCAGCCACCCCCATGCCGCGATCCGGTCAGGAAAACAAATCCACGTATAATATAAATATTCATTCTCAGATTTGGGGGACCACTGTTACGCCTCATTTTATGAGCCTCGGAACCACTCCGACCCCCCAAAGCCTCTCCGAAGTGATACACCGATTCCTGCCACTGATCTGCCGAAGTGTCCAGTCTCCGAGGTCGGTTCAAGCGGCTTGAACCCCCGTTAGAAGATTCGCTGCCAATTTAAGATTTGCTCTGCATATAAGGTTTAAATTGATGTGACGTCCCCCATAAAGCTATTTGATGTGACTTATCAACTTTATGTCAATTCAACTCGGGGGAAACAAACTGTCCGTCCACTCTACAAGCGCGGCTGATTGACGCCTATGAGCAGACGCTTCATACCGTCAGATGTATACACGTGTTCCACATCCCACGGTTCATACCACCTATAAATACCCAAAGATTGGCCAGAGGCAAAGGTAATGAAACTCTCAATAGATAGCACTCCATAACAAGTTTATATATTCTCCTCCCCCTTTATTGACTGATTGATTTGTGTAGTCCCTGGACACTGTTCCGACCACCCAAACCTGACTTGACCGTTGGAGTGTATACGGCCGCCACCACCGTTGGTTCCGGCCGTGTGCGCCTGACAGTTTGTTCATTTCGTAGGGAGGAATACGTGGAGTAGCTACAAGTTGGCCACGTGGAAGAGCCATTTTTAGAGGTCAACACCTATCATGTGTGATAACACTAGTGCTATAAACTTGTCTAAAAATCCCATTTTGTACTCTCGAACAAAGCACATTGAAATTAGATACCACTTTTCTAAGAGATCATGCACTAAAGGGATATAGTATTGGAATTTGTGAACACAAAAAATTGATTGGCCGATATTTTGACTAAACTTCTAGCAGTTGATCGATTTTCATATATTCAAAGAGATTTAGGTATTATTGATGAATTCAAAGTGCATAACTAAGTGAAATCCATAATATATGCTCTTATATGTTTTATTTTTTATATGCCACATTGTTTAGTATTTATTATGTAGTTGATTTAGTATATTTTATTTAAAAAAAGGGAAAATCAGACGGACCAATCAGACAATCCAAAAAAAATGTTAGAATTAATAGAAAAATGCAGGTTTATCTAGCTCTACCAACCCGGACGTCTGATTCAACAGGATCTCGGATTTCAAATTGCGTAACAATCCCCCGTCTATCTCATTTCTCCTCCATTTTTCTCATTTCTCTTCCTAAATCCTCTCTAAAATCTTTATATTACGATATCAAAACATCAAATACTCTCCAAATTCACAAAACCCATCACTTTTACATCTCATATCTCTCAAAAATTCAAATATTCATCCACTAAAACTTCAACTTTTCCCTAAAATCCGAGACCCAAGTGAATTTCCAATTTGTTCACTTATTTCACAATTTAACATGATGGGGTCAAGAGCATGGGAAAAGCCTGAAAAGTATCATGAAAAGATCTCTTCCGATGAAGAAATTGACATGGAAATCGAGGTGCCGGCCAACCCTCTTGAAAAATCTCCAATTTTAATAGGTAAAAATGTTGATTTTACTAATTTTATAATCGAAGCACCTGTGTTTCACATAGAGGAGTATTTTTTAAAATATGGTTGGGTGTCAATCTCTACATTAGAAGAACATGCTTATCTACGTCTCATGAAAGAATTTTACAAAAACATGGTCGTTGTTCCCTGTTCAGATGAGTTTTCTCAATGACTTAAAATCAACCACATTACCATTAACAAAGCTCTCATCCAAGGTATTCTTGAGTTTGAAATGTATTAAACTCAAAATTTTCATCATAAAACTCATCCCGTTTTAGAAGGATATGATCCTACAAAAGCATGTTGTCAGTCATCTAGAAGAACATGGTGAATATCACCAAAACTTAGTGCAAATCAACTCACTCTTCCATGTAAAGTTTCACAAAACATTATAGGTGGTAATGTGGAGAATATCACAAAACTTGTGTGTCTTTTGGTAATGTGGAATATAGATGCCTAGGGTACATTGATGATATGTACCGGGATGTAGAGTGTGACTTTTAAATCCCGAGCGAAGAAGTGATTAAATGTTGGAATCCTTTATTTGTTAAGACCCAGATTAGGTGGAGTGTAAGGAAGTACTCCTATCACTTTTGTTAGGTGGAGACTTATTATCCACTTAGGTTGGGAGAAATGAGGTGGTAATAGAGGATTATGCCATAGACCTAAGATTTATTGTGGTTTAGTATTTAGACATGAATTTTAGTAATCAGTTTAGTGAGCATGATGAGAAATGAGATGAGATATGTGTTCTTGAGGTGTAAGTAACATGGAATAGGATAGTATAAGGTGGTGAGATCTTTTCGTGGGGTCATTCATGCATTTGTAGCATATGTGTTGATCGTTTGTTTGATTACCTTGGTGTTAATCTGTTGTTTTATGTGAACATATTTTGAATAGATCTATATTACTATGTTATATCTTCATTACAGGTATGATATGATCATTTGCTACTACTTAGGTGCCTTGACCTTGCCCTAGTAAGTACATGGAGCATGTATGGTATGTGTTTCAGGTTTGAAAGATGAGATAAGGTCTATGATCAAATTTTATTGGTTACATTGACTATGCAAGTATTAATTTCGTGTTTTGATTGCTAATTATGCCAAAAGTATAATACGATGATTGTAGTATAGATTTGCAGTGTCGATTTCACTGGGAGATGGAAAATTTCACCAAGGATTAAACAAACTAGGGTTTTCGTGATTTTATGTAAATGTGGATTGTCAATTGGAATGAAATTTAATTATCAATTTGCAAAATTAGAGAAGCATCAGAATTCCCCCAATTGGATTGGACCATCGACATCAACAATTCATGACTTTTTACTCAATTAGAGGTTTTCGTCAAAACCCTCTAATCGAAATATTTAACAATGAAGATTAATTAATTTTCAATTGTAATCCTAAGATCTAGACTTTTGTAAACCATTCCCACACACATTTATTGGACTAAGATTAAGAAACGACGATATATACAATGCAAAAGGCAGTAAATAATCCACCAATAAAATTTAATGAATTTGAAATTCAATAATTAGTTTAATTCTACTATAGAGAAAACGTGATTGAGTCTATGCAGAATATAGTAAAAGTTAAATCAATTCTAAGCAATTTCATGAAAGAAAATCTAGATCTAGAAGTGTTTGACAATAAAAGTATCAATTTACGTGAATAATTGATGTGGAGTAGCCAAAGTCAATGAGTTCCTCCATAGCTTTACCTAGGAATTTAGTTCTCCATGGATTTCTTGAGCCAAACTTAACAAAAAATTGATAGCCTAGGGTCATAAAAATCGTGTAGGAGACGTGTTTCCATAAGTTTTGGACTCAAATTAGAAAATTGGAATTTTCGCCTCTGAAGTAAACCATACGATAGTTCTTTGTGGTCGCATGGAACAATGAAAATGCACCTCTGAATTCCCTACAGGTGTTTGTACGATCGCATGAAAGAAAATATGCGACCGTATGGTTATTGCTATTTTTTTGGTCGACCAGCTTTTAGTATTTTGGCCATAACTTTCCCTCCTGATGTTCGATTGAAGTGATTCAAGTTGTGTTGGAAACCTAAATCAACGAAATACAAGTTTCTTTCAAATGTCATCTTCCAATTTGATCATTTGACATGTCAAAAAGGGGTCCCAATATGAGGTTGAAAACGGTGCGTAACTTTTTTCAATTGGGAATTGATGTGTGATCAAATTTTGACGTTATTTCATCCCTTTGACTTCCTTTCTCATTTAATTAACCTCTAAGTATTTGTACTTTAGTCCCCAAACTTTCTTTTTCTTCCACTTTGGTCCTTTTTCGCTCTTTTCTTCTATCTTCCATCTTTCTTGCCAAAATGTAACCCGAATCAAAATATAAGTATAATGAGTGCATTTTGGTATCAAATAATCACATGAATACAATAATTAAGAGGGAGAAATATTATGTTTTACACTCTTATCAATTGCTTGTAGGTTAATTGAGTATCGAGGTGGAGATTTATTGGATTTTTATACCTAATAAATCATGGGTGATGATGTAAATGTTGAAATATATTTTCACGGGCCTTGTCCAATGGTGAATTGATACATACATACACACATATATGTATATGTGCGCACGCGCGTGTGTATTTGAAAATGG